CGTGTCGACTCTGTGTATGTACGACGACCTTGACCAGACAAGGTGCACAGTATTCTGTTGCTGGCAATGAGAGTGGCCAGTGCTGAGGTGCGGAGGGTGGTGGTGGTGGTGATCGTGGCGCTCCATGTTGAGGCAGCTAGTTTGGAGATGAGGTTGTTCCTGGTTTTGACCTTGGCTGTTGTCGTCCTCAGGTGTTCCCGGAAGGTGAGTGACCTATCCAGAGTGACCCCGAGGTATGTGGGGTTGGGGTGGTGCTGTAGCTTGTGGTTGTTCATCTGGATGTTGAGCACTTTATTGGCCTTTGCGTTGTAGAGGCGGAATACACTGGGCACAGTTTTTTTGCAGGGTTTTGTTCGAGTCGCCACGTGATGCAGTGTTGTTCGAGTTTAGATGTATCCTCGTTTGGGGTCTGATCCAGGGTGTCGAAGTTGGGAGCTTGCGTTGCTCGGCAAATGTCGTCAGTGTGTTGAATTGTCGGGAGGCGGTTTCTGGGAGGTCATTTGTGTAGAGGTTGAACAGATGGGGGACCAGCACTGAACCTTGAGGTGAGACCGTTGTAGTCCGTCTCTTCTCTATGATTTGCTCTTTGCCTTTCCGAGGTGAACTCTGAAACGTCTATTGCTCAGCAGCGTCGCGATGATTTTGGTTGCCCATTCGGGGAGGTGACCGCGACAGCCTGAGGAGGAGGAGGGAGCCAGTGCGCCAGACGGTGCCATAGGCAGCTGTGCGGTCGAGGAAGACAGCTCCTGTGCTCCGGTTTCTCTGGAAGCCATCTTCGATGTAAGCGGTGAGGGCCGGAACCTGTTCTGCTGTCCTTGCGGCCCTTGCGGAAACCAGCCTGTTCCAAGACGAGTACTTCTTCAGCGGCAGGGGGGGGGGGGGGTATGCGATGGAGGGTGAGGCGATCGGGACTGATCGCAATTAGATTGGGCGATAGCTGGCTGCAAGGTGTGGGGTTATTTTCCTGGTTTTGGTACGGCGACGAATTTCTCTGTCCGCCATTTCTTTGGCATGGTGTTGGAATGTATAACCATGTTGTCAAAAGCGTGCCAGCCAGTTGAGAAGCATCTGGGCCCCAGGTGTTTCATGAATTAAGACAGGATTCAATCTTGATTTGAAGCTTTCGTGACTGCAGGAATCCGTACTCTTTGGTTCTTTCGGTAAAGTCACGTAGGTATAAAATAAAATAAATCACGACGTTTCTATCGCAACACAAGCGGTCGTCCTCAGGCGGAAGAAATATAATCGAGCTGTTCCACCACAATGCCCCTCGCCCACTCCTCAAAGACAAAGATCGCCCGTGTAGCCTTAACAGACTGTTGGGGCAAGGGCTGTTAACGAGCACCTGTGAAGGCCGAAACGGCACACGACGGGGTGGGTGGCCAGCACCACGCCCGACCGCCTTTGTCTCCCCAGTGGCGATGTTTACACACCGCACCGGGTACCCATTTTAGGCTGAGTCAACCTAGGGGAGGCCCGGGACAGGTTCAGATAATTGTCACTGGTGTTGGCCCTGAGCGGGAATCGAACACGGGTCGCCAGGTTCATAGCGCAGCGTAGCGCTAACCGCTACACCACCGCTCCCCACTCCTCACCCACTCGCTCACCGACATCGTTACGCTCCATGCGCTATTCGTGCTCGGCTTTGTAATATTCACTGCCACCGTCGATCTTCCCGCGTCGCTACAACCTTGATGAATACCAACGATACGTATTGACTCTTAACTATTAAACATTGCACAGCGGTTGTCCCATGGATAGACCAACAGTAGGGGTGTGGGAATTCCACCGCTGGCTCTGCAAGGCAGGGCTGTGAGCAGGGGGTTTGGCACTGCCTCAATAACGCTCATCTGAGCAGGAAATCAGTGAAGCACACTTTTAATGCACCTCCAATGGCGCTGTTTGTAGATGACCGCTAGGCATGATGGGCCTTCACGGCTGTGCTCAGCAACCTTAATATATTTAGAAAAATAAATCACGCAAGGTTAAATCTTGACTTAAAGCTTTCGTGACTGCAGGGATTCATATTCTTTGGGTCTTTCGGTAAAGTCACGTAGATAGAGGTTAGAATAAAATAACAAAAAAAAATACAAAAAACTACGACGTTTCGATCACAACACAAGCGATCGTCATCAGAAACGTAGTTTTTTTGTTATTTTCTTTGAACCTATCCACGTGACTTTACCGAAAGACCCAGAGAATATCACACAAGGTTGACTGCCAAACATGTCTTATGATGCCCGTGCACCCGATAGCGGAGGGGCTTTTCCCGTGCCGGAATTGGCGCGAGCAGGCACCTCTCCTAGGACTGCCACTCTTCGTTACCTTTCTGACACATTTCACTTCGTCGTGCTCGCGAGGGCGTCGTGTTCCACGTCGACTCAAGGGGGACCCGGCTCCAGTGGATGGAGAGGAGGAGGAGGAGGAGGGGGACGGTGTAAATCAGGGACGTGCGGTCAGGGGAGGCAGGCGAGGCACAGCCTCGCCTGTCATACTCCGATAAAAATAGCGGTTATGAAAAGCGAATAATGAAATAAATATTCAGATTTTTCCACTGATCTGTGTTCTGAGTGTAATTTCTGTACGGTTCCAATCATTTTTATAGTCAAAATCGCCAAATTTGCGGAGCTTCGCTGCAAATACAGGAAGAGACGAGAGGTGAGGCAGCGACGAGCTCAGCCTCCCCTCTGATTGCGCAACCCCTCAGTAACTGGATGGAGCGCGGGCAATAAGCGCGTGCCTGTTACTATCTCAGTGTGTCACCAATGTAATGTTTGTAGACCCCTTCATTTCATGTCCTCGCCTTCCATACTCCGGGTAACTTATTTCACGTACGTGTATAAAGATATTTAGGCTCGCTGGTCTCGTCATGAAACTGCAGTGAAAAAGCACCAGGGGAGGCAGCTATCACATCTGCCTCACTGAGGGGGGCGTGTCTAACACGCCCCCCTCAGTGAGGCCACGCCCCCTCCGTGAGGCCACGCCCCCTCAAGTGTGTGAATCTGGCTCTGACACTAGCCCAGTGCCTCCCCAGCCAATGACCTCACCGTACGTCACTGCTGTAAATCCGAGCGACGGGAAGAAACTAATATACTCCCAGATAATGACTCCCGCGATGGGTTGACCCAGGCATTCTGTTACGAGGCCAGACGCCGAATTAACAGGACAATAACGATATTGAACATTTCGCGGGCGCCATAAATCTCCGGAGAAATAAACGACCTTGTGCCGTAATTTGCGCGAGCAACACCCGCCCATTTCTCCTCCCCGCGCTTAGTGTGCGGCCTTTTGGGAAAAAAAATAGAAAGAGGCGGAGAGAGAGAGAGAGAAAAAAACCCTCAAGGTTTCCAATTTACACTCAAGCCACTGATTCATGAGCCCCGGCAATCCCGATTCTAACATTTGTCATTGCGTGCTTTCACACGCGCGGTTGTATTCAGTTGAACCTGGATGCCTGTATAGAAGCTCCATGCCTTTTTAATTTTATATATGTATATATATTTTTATCATCGGTGACCATCGCTTCTCTACCGTCGACGCATTGCAGACAGCCGACAGTCCCCTTATTGATCACTCTCACACAGAGACGACGACTCAGAGGAGCCGGGCAGGCAGGAAGGCGGCAACACTACGCGGTGGGACGGCGCCAACCATCGCCCAAGTTCTGTGGTCCTCTGTTTGTTAAGGTGTTATCTCGGCCAGCGAATGAGTGCTACGCGCTCTGTAATTGTTACGACCACTGGCCCATTTTCGTTTGAGCCAATGTTAACACACACAGTTAATGGGGTGCATGCCATTATGGACACACATGTTGCGCTGCACGTATGTTGAAGTCTGTGGATGTATGTGTAAGCACGCTCGGTGGTGTAGGAGTTATCACACTGCACTAGAAACCCTGTCACCTAGGTGCGATTCCTGGTCACGGTTAAAACCAGTGGCGAGTATTAAAATACATGCCCGAGGATCATCTAGGTCAACTCAGCAGCAAATGAGTACCTGGTGAATAAAATACTACCTTTTTGCATGAAATCACTTGGTTCCATTCAAAGAGAGAGGCCGCCCCGACATCCTGCCTCCTGAAGGCTGGAAACCCCCTTCAAACCACGCCCAGCGTGACGCGGCCGACGGGTACGGATGACTTCAGCAAGCCTTGCCCATCACCTTCCGTCGACAGCGGGGAGCAGAGGGGATACTTTTTTCTCCCCCCCCCATCCCCCCCCCAACTATTTTCGTGTCAATTCAATTGGTTGGGTACGGGAGCAGATAATGAGTGGAGTACAGAGATCAATCACTCACACAGTCGTATAGCCAAGCTCTACCGCTCTCACGGAGCGAAACATTTTCTCAAGTCCCTGGCCAACGGCGTGGGGTGGCGAGGATTCCCAAGGCACGCGGTGCGGTGCAGAGTGTGGTGGTGTGTGTGGTGGTGTGTGTGGTGGTGTGTGTGGTGGTGTGTGTGGTGGTGTGTGTGGTGGTGTGTGTGGTGGTGTGTGTGGTGGTGTGTGTGGTGGAGTGTGTGGTGGAGCGTGTGGTGGTGCGTGTGGTGGTGCGTGTGGTGGTGCGTGTGGTGGTGTGTGTGGTGGTGTGTGTGGTGGTGTGTGTGGTAGTGTGTGTGGTGGTGTGTGTGTAGTGGTGTGTGTGGTGGAGCGTGTGGTGGTGCGTATGGTGGTGTGTGTGGTGGTGTGTGTGGTGGTGTGTGTGGTGGAGCGTGTGGTGGTGCGTATGGTGGTGTGTGTGGTGGTGTGTGTGGTGGTGTGTGTGGTGGAGCGTGTGTGGTGGAGCGCGTGTGGTGGAGCGTGTGTGGTGGAGCGTGTGTGGTGGAGCGTGTGTGGTGGAGCGTGTGCGGTGGAGCGTGTGTGGTGGAGCGTGTGCGGTGGAGCGTGTGTGGTGGAGCGTGTGTGGTGGAGCGTGTGTGGTGGAGCGTGTGCGGTGGAGCGTGTGTGGTGGAGCGTGCGGTGCGCGGTTGCTCGTGGTGCACAACGCCGTGAGGTTCCTCTCACCTGGACCGTGCTGTGCTCCAGGAGCACGTACTTGCGGTCGGGAGACACCTGGAACCTCGTCACCTTGCCGTTTTGCTGCCGGCAGACGGGGAGGCACACAGAGGTGGTGGTGGGGGGGGGGACGACAACGACGATAGAGGTCAGAGCGCCAGACACAGGTCTGTCCGAAGCCACGGTGAAGTAATGAATAACAGAAGAGACTTTTCCCAGCAGACATTGTTTGCCCCACTGTCAATTTATTTGTTCGAATGCCAAAAAAAAAACCAGCGGTGGCCCAACGCTACCATCCTTGATCCTGTCATTCGGAAGGAGTGCTCTTGCCAATAGCGTTTGGCAACGCAGCTCGCATTTGATTGTTTAAACAAATGCTGCTGCTGCTGCTGCTCCTGGACAAGGTTGGTCAGAAAATCCTACAGGCCGATGGACCTCGATCGCTTTATTTATGCATGGAGATAGAGAAGGAAGTTCTGCCTATAAACGTGCGATTAATCGAGGCTATCAAGCAGGAAATGTTATATTTTGCAGGCTCGTACAGCAACCCAACCAGTGACGTCATTAAATGCCACTATACAGTATTAACTTTAGAGTTAATTCCTTTTGGCCTCATCTTTACCGTATCGCTGCATGTTGCATCTCTGTTGTACTGTACTGTCCACTCCATTTCGCCTGAAATTAACATTTTATGAGGATGCAATTTTGCGGAAATTGCTAAATACTCCGTTCTTGAAAATACGGTTTTGGTGCGTGCATCTTGGGCACTAAAAATGATGCCATTGGAGTCATGTCATGAAACAAACCGATCTCTTTGGTGACTTTCACAGAGCAGTGCGTAACGACCCTGTGCGCATTTGAGTCTTTACCTCTTTAACGTTGCACAGAAAATGTTGTGAAATTCCCTGCCATACCCTGGCTTGCCAGGAGAAGGCGGTAGAGCAAAAAAAGTGTGGACTCCACGTGTTCCGTCGGCATGGGAAAGAGTGTTTCCCCCTCGCACGCGTGGGTGTTCTCCGAGTGCTCCGGTTTCCTCCCGCATGTAAACGCTCATTAAATTGCCGATAAAACCTTCATATATAGAGGACCCCCAGAGCTTGGGCAATTTTTTTGTCACCAGCTCACCGGGTGGCTGTTTTCCCTTTTGTCTCTGGTTCCCTCGTGCCTCGGTGTCGTTCTATTTTCTCGAGAGTGAGCGAGTACTGTGCGCGTCGCAAGTTGAAATTGCTATTATTATTATTATTGACCAACCGACGGCTATATCAGATTCTCAAGTGAAGAGTCTCTCCCAGTCTCGGCCCGGTCACCAATGATGATTGCACCAACCACCCGGACTTTAATTGGGGCACACACCACCGGCTCTGAGAAAGGTAAAATATGTCAGCTTGATTGTCGCGCAACGCTTATTTTGCGTGGTGATAAAGGCGGCGGCGGCGGCGGTGGCGCGGAGGGGGGGCGAGGGGTGTGGACGATGCCTCGGCGTTGGGTAATGAAGTCTTTTTTTCAGTCATAGCTCCATGCGGAGGTCAACGCGGTGAGCCGTGGCGCTGCTATGCGGCACCCTAATTGTGCCATGACACCACTCTGCCGGCTGTAGGAACGATTGTTAGCGTTTTCTTTGTTCCAGCCTCGCGACTTCAACGGAGCACCCGGGATTTGTGAATCTTGGTAACGATCACCCCCTCCCCTTCCTCACCAAAAAAACAACCGAGAGTAACAGCTAAACACGGCCATCTATGGAGTTCATGAACAAGGGCCATTTCCCAAAACGTTATCTCATTACGGTATAGAACAGGGAGAGAGAAAGAGAGGGGTGGAGGGAAAGGAGAAAATTGTGGTGCGTGTTGGTGATGAGGCCAGCCTATAATTCAGTGACCGGCTTTAATTTAGACAAGTCATCTGGTGATGCTACAACTGCCAATGTGAGCTGCAGCATCACCAGATGATTGAACAAATAATCAAATTAAAGAATAAAGAAAAACACCTACATTGAGTGCTTTAGTGCGACTCAACGGGACCACTCCTAATATTCACATATTGTGAGTGTGCTCACATTTTGTATCGGAGCTATTGTCGCCTCGATATGTTGCAGCCAACCATCAAAAAGTGTTTATTTTTTTTGTATTACCCAACAACTTTCCAAAACTCACCACTGAAAATCAGCCCTCCTTATTGCCTAAATCCTTTTGAGTCAAGCCCGGTGCGAGTACGTGCGTGGCTGACCGTCTGGGAATACCAGGTGCTGAGGGCATAAGGCTGCGCGTTTAGTAGTAGCTTTCAGCACAGCGACGGGTTATTTGTGTGGAGATTTGGGGTGTTGTACCTTCCTCGGGGGTGTGTGTGTGTGGGTGTGTGTGGGGGGGGGGGGTTCTCCGGGTCCTTTTCTTGCCTCCCACACGAATTCGAAACACAACTCGTTAATGAGAATTGGCCACATAGCCCTAATGCGGGAATTTTCCGAAGAAAAAAAAGTGTCAGATAAATGCGTGGGCACGGTTGTGCCGACGATGATGATGATGACGTTCAACAAGAACAGACTCTTTGTTTAAAAATAACACCCATATGTTTGGGTGCCAAATGCCCCACAATAACGTCGGGAGCGGGTGGGAGGAGAGAGAGAGGTGGGGTGGGAACCGCTTTACAATGCCATTTCGAGCGAATGACAAACAAACGTACTCACAAATGCACCCAGTCATTTTGGCACTTATACGCGGGGGTTAATCGCGGTGCACATAAATTGCCCATTATGTCGTTATTGCGGCGTACAACAGTACTAAATGCGGAGACATCAGACGATGCTTTTCGCTGTTGTTGTAAAAAAAAAATTGAAGATAATTGCCGAGGATTGCGGCGGTGGATTGCTGCAGCCAGTTGAAGAATTGCACGCGTGCAAAGGTAAAGCGACGGCGCTTCTCATCTCCCTTTGCGAAGGAGACAAATGGGGACATGGCTAAGTTGAACGATGACATTTTGAAATCGTCGTCGCGCCGCGCGTCGTTTACGACACGGGAGTCCGACGTTTCGCTGAGCGTGTCGCGAGCTCCTCCAGGGACGGAATATTCGTTTTCTGTTGTAAGGCTTGGAATTTTTTTTTTTTAAGAAATGAAAAATAAACTCATCAACATTTTTTTTTGACCAAAATAATGCCGCTTTTCATATCGTCATCGTTCATGACACACAGAGACGACGACTACATTTGTGCCGAATACATTTTCATCCTTTCTAGAACGTCAATAGAATATTACACCAGTTACGATTATTTATAAGGGGCGGCCGAAAAAGTGAGTCACCGGGACAACGTGTAACTTATCATGTCGATGTCTTGACAGTTGTTTTGGTGATAGCTTTGATAATATTATTGTAGTACATTTTTACTCTCTGATTGTACGTAATTACGCGGAGCAATTTGTCATTCCGTGGCTGATCGCTGTCAAACGCCCCTAACAATGAAGGCAACTCATTTTAAAGCTCACTTAGCTACCCTTCTCTTCGCCCATTTCAGAAGAAAGACGTGCTTTGGCATTTCCACTAATTGTTAATGCGTTCATGTGAATAAGAAGTGATTATCGCGTAAATTGGGATGCATGTTAAAAGGTTACTTGAAAAACACGTTTTTTTTTTGCGTGTGTCTATCTCAGTCATGGGAAGTGTTGGGTCACCCTGAATGCATCAGGTGAGTGGTGTCAGCTCCTTCTCCGCCCATCATCGCTTTTCCTAAGTTTTTACACAACCCCGGCTCAATTCATGAACTCTCACCCGGCACACATTCAGCCGTGATGACGCTCGTTGCTGCTCGCTCGGCATTTCATGCCCTTGGGCCTGTGCTCAGCAGCCGTGCTTATAACTGCACGTGAAGGTCATGGCGATGTTGATGGAAGATGCCAAACAAGCAGGACGACGACGATGATGTTGGTAATGGCGAGGTTACTTATGGAGGTTATTTCTGTATTTGCTGTCCGACTTTAGACGTCCCTCCCATGGTCAGGCTCTTACATCCCTCGGCTCAATTCAGCAAATCCATTCGCTCTCGTCGACGCCACTGTCAAACAACGCTGTATCTTGCTGGCCTGCTTGGCAGTAGTTTGGGCCTTTGCTCAGCTACTGTTAATACCGAAAGCGGGAAACCAAACACAAGAACAGAGAGAGAGAGAGCGATGGTCTTTGTTTGGGGGGGGGTGAGGGGCTTGCAGACACGGGGACACCAGCGGTGTAGGCTTCGGGCAGGAGCGGGCAGAATGAAAGCGCTTTTTTAGCTTTTCAGTTTAACGGCGCGCCAAGACTGAACGGGTTCTCGCACTCTACGAGAACCCCCCCAACCACCACCCCGCTACACACACAGACGACGGAGGCACTTATTTATATTATTATTATTTTTAAAAACTGCCGAGCGCGTTTTTTTTTTATATGCTCCGTGTCTATTTATTTTTCTTTCCTTTCAGGCTGTCCAATTGCCACGGCTCTCCGGACCAATTCAAATGGGGGAGGGGGGTGGCTGGGGGGGGGTGTAGCGTGCCCGACGGTCCGGAGTGCATCGCAGTGGCGCAGCGCATCGTGGCGCGCGCGCGAGCAGAATCCCTCTCGCAGTCCGGACGCAACAGCGGCGGCGCTGAGATTTGAGCGGAACAATCGCTATCCAAACGGCGTGCGTATCAATCCGGCGTGGCGCTAAGCCATTGCTCATCCTATCTCACACGATCCATCACGGCCGAATCGATATAAACCTCCCGTCAACGTCCCTCGTGCTGTGTTGCACGCGGGGGAGGAAGACAGCGACGGACGGAGAGAGGGACGGATACAGAGACACGGATGCATAGATGGATGGATTGATAGGGCGGAGCAGTGGATAACCAGTGATTAGCGCGCTGCCCTGCGAGCTCAGCGACTTGAGTTCGAGTCTCGGGTGTGGATAGCATCAGTGGTGAGCGATGTGTGAAACCAGCCCCGGGGCACACACATCACCGACCCGCACTGAACTAGCGTGGTGAAGTATGGTCCAACAACCCCCATGACCGACGCGGCATGAGGTAGCCAAGCATCCTGCTGATGATTTGATGGACATTCAGGCAGGCGGATGAATGTATTGATGAACAAATTGTGGACTCGACCTGTTCTATCTGTACGGGATAGAGTGTTTCCCCCTCGCGTGCCTGGGTTTTCTCCGGGTGATCCAATTTCCTCCCACATGTGCACACTGATGAATTGGCCAATTACACATCGACATATAAAGGACCGCAGAGCTGGGGCAATTATTGGCTTCCCACTTGTCTGGGGTTCCTCCTCCTCGCCTTTCTTGAGTCATTCTCTCTCTACGAGAGTGAGCGAATATACTGTGTAGTGCGTTACAAGTTGACATTATAATACAATAATATAATTACGAGGTGCATCCAACTAAAATTCATCATTATCAGCCATGGCCTATATGCGCCACCTGACGAGGGCCCTTCCCCAAGCTGTCGGCATCTCTCATGGTGTCACGATGCAGGAAGCCATCAGCGTCTGCACAGCGAGCCGATTGCATTGCTCCGTCTCATGCGAACGTTCTCTCGGGAGCGTTTTCCCTCCTTTGGCCGCCACTCCGTGGTCAGTCTCGACCTTTCAGCCGTCATACGCTTCCTGCCCAAGCCCCACTCACTTATCTTATCGATCGACACGGGGCGCGTGCGTTCTCAATTCCACGTGTTCCCCTCGTTCCTGACTCTCTGGGTAATGCCAAAAGCGTGCATCCTCTTCACGCCCGCTTTGCGAAATTTTGCGCCTATCTAATCATCCGGCAATTGTTAATATGAAACAGAATAAGCGGCCCATCAATGGTAACAAGTGAATGGCGAGTCACCGCGGACTTGTAGATAGACGGTTGCACGTGCCAATGTTTAGCAGGTGGGCACAAGCCTTTTCGCGGATGTAAATTGCGCAGACAATGTGTGTCCTTCACGTAACGTCAGCGGCATTGTGCGGCAAGGCGTGCAAACTGTAGGCCAGTTTTCACCATCCAGTGTTCTCGTCGACAGGGTCGGGCTTGAATCAACGCTGGCGAACTGTCCTCTTTGGTTCTATTCGGTAAAGTCACGTAGGTAAAAATAAAACAACAAAAAACACGACGTTTCGGCCGCAACACAAGTGGCCTTCATCAGGTGAAAGGACCGTACTGTCGCGAGGACAGCGTATGGATCCCTGCAGTCACGAAAGCTTCAAATCTAGAGCTGGCGAACTGCTTTACAAGGCAAGGCTACGTGTTTCAACTATGGGGGGGGGGGGTCTTAGTTTGACGCACATCATATCGTGATAGATAACTCAAAATAATCGTTGCGGAGAATATGAATAATAATAATAAACAAGCAGACAATATTTATCCTTCACATGTTATTCTCTCCATGTTCAAATAAATAAAGAGTGCTTTTTACACAACACATCGGCCACACGGCCTTCTGCGCATTAAAACAATCCCGCAGAAAATTGTGCACTTAACAGACGGCCGTGGCGGCTCATTGGACGTGCGGGAAATAATGTTGGGTTTTTTTTCTTTTTTCGCGCAGAGAAAGACGGATGATATGTGTAGGAGGCGCGTCTCGTCTACCTATTCGCTTCGCTATTTACGTTCTCCACAACAACGCTAATGACTATCATTGCAGAAGCGACCGTGGCCGTATCGGACTCTGTGGGCCTGTAGGGAGAGGAGAGAACAAAGAGAAACACGTGGTGGAATAGAGACATTCAATGTATTGTGTCTTTTGTTTCGTTTTGTTTCCCCGAATTCACCCCCAATTGTGCCATCCGTGGTGATGTCGCCAGACGAAATGTCCATTGAGTTCTCTCATAGAGCAGTGGAAGCCTGCACGTTAAAGAATGTCCTGCAGAAGCGGATATCACAGGGCTACCTCTGAGATCCATTCGAGTGACCTCTGGCTCAACGTGGCGAAATGTTAACTCGCCACGCTGGCGAGATGTTACCTACCTCGCCTGGTATGCAGGAGGTCGTGGGTTCGATCCCGACTCTGACCGTCTGTTGTATATCTTGAGTTTGCGTGTTCTCCCAGTGGTCGCATGGATTCTTCTCCGCGTCCTCCGGTTATACCTCGCCACGTTCATAAACGTGCGTTTAGAGTATTTGGCTGCTATTCATTGCCACAAGTTGAGCCATTTCGTTGAGCGATCAATTGTGGCCAAGTCACTTCTGAAAAAGAGCTACATAGCTCAGTGGGCCTTACTTGGTAAAGTAAAACAAAAACAGTTTCGTTTAATATTCTTGGTTCTTTCGGTAAAGTCACCACTTAGAAGGGAAACAATAAAATAATAAAAATATAAAACAATAAAATTCTCACGACGTTTCGACTGCAACACAAGCAATCATCATCATGATGATTGCAAGACAATTCTTGCTGTGGTTTTCACACCTGACGATGACTGCTTGTGTTGCAGTCGAAACGTCGTGAGAATTTGTATTGTTTTATATTTTTATTATTTTATTGCCTCCCTTCTACGTGACTTTACCGAAAGAACCAAGAATATGAATCCATGCAGTCACGAAAGCTTTAAATCAAAATGTAGTTTCGTTTAAGTTTAAGGTAGTTAGCGTCTCGGCACCGTGGGAGGCCCTTGGTAATGTTGAGACGCGGGCGTCACTCACGAGCACGGAGGCGTCGACGAGCAACGAGCTGCTGTTGGCTCCGGGCACCTGGATGACGAGGTGGCCTTGAGCCGTTCTGTACACGAGTTCCTTGTCTGGGGGGTGGGGGGTGGCAAGAGAGACAGAGAGCGGCATCAGAACCCCCACTCACGCACAGCCAGCTTCGCTCTCTCCAACTGCTAACGCACACGTAAACAAACGAAATACATACATTGAGTCTCGTTCACAGTTGTATTTGAATCGCGCTATCGGCGCGAAAATCACGACAGGGACGCGTGTCCAATCAGATCTCTTGCATAATGCAGTGCAACACGCCGCGTTCGAGAACAGCTGCTGGAAGGTGTCATCACGGAAGTGCTGTAGGGGATATCTTCCGTTGCCTCTTAGCCACAAGGAGGGGCACCGAATCTACTACTCACACTACCCGGGGTGTTTGTCACGTGGAAATCAAACGGATATTGGTTTAGTCCGCGTGGAACGCGGCGGTTTAAATGAGAAAAAATATATTTTATATTACGTTGAGTCTAATTCCAGAACCATGATGATTCATCAAATCACATGGGGGTGTGGGGGGTTATGTCTGCAAACACTCATTGCATATCACCATCCAATATGTTGCTATACACTTTACCTGTTAAGAGCGTGGATCATTGAAATGCCATAACCACACAAACCTCGTAGTTTCGCACATAAACTAGCCTATAATTCGCAAGTCCAACCGATAACACCCTTTTCACTCGTGCACTTTTGCATTCGCAAGCGGCACACGTTGATTGTCGCAGGATATAACAATGCACCCATTGTCAGTGCAGCGCGAGGCTTTTATAAAGCCGCGGTGGTGACATGTCAGAACGCCCGCATGCAGTTCCATTTATCAACGTTACACAACAAACCTTCGACTATTAATTAAAATGGGTCCCCCATCTCCCATCTGCTCGCAACGGGGTTCCTGGCGTTCGTGTGAATTAGATGATGTTCGCCTGGTTTGTTTTGTAATTGTCTTTCGTCGTGTTAAGTATCCCCCATAAATTCAGGGGTATTGAACGCGGCGAACAAAAAAAAACCCCAAATATATAAATATATACTGATTTACAACCTTCTGTCTGCAGAGGCACCAGCTGCAATGGCAGTGCTGGTGCCATTTTTCAGTTGGGCAGTCCCTATGGCAATGCTTTAGAACGGCGACTTTTTATTGGCCTGGGGAGGAATGAGTGGAGCTCCCTTTGCGTTTATTTTGGCACTCTGTGGGGGAGGTGGTTTGAAGCGGCCCGGGGTATTCCTGAAACGTGAAGCCGAGGTGGTGAGGCTGAGCGCCCCATATTTCAATTCTGTTTAAATTCCATTCCAAATTAATTAAAATTGAAATACAACTTCAGAACATTTCTTATATTATTTACGTTTTACTTTTGTTAAATACATGTATATATTTTGCTTTTTTTCTTTAAATGTAAATGCATTTATTTTCACAATGTGACGTGAAAATGAACAGGATTTTGACGCGATATAAAATTACGCTATATAAAACGAAATGACTATTATTTAATTTAATTGCATTTTATAAAGGACATTTTTTTTTAGGTTGGGTACCACCGCAATGGCCCCAAGGAGCCACTGCCACCACTTGTGCCTCGCTGGCCCTCTATCTCTCACTCCTCTCTCTCTCTCACTCCCTCCTCTCTCTCTCTCATTCCCTCCTCTCTCTCACTCCCTCCTCCTCTCTCTCACTCCCTCCTCTCTCTCTCACTCCTCTCTCACTCCTCTCTCTCTCTCTCACTCCCTCCTCCTCTCTCTCACTCCCTCCTCTCTATCTCACTCCCTCCTCTCTCTCTCTCTCACTCCCTCCTCTCTCTCACTCCCGACCACCCCACGTCAGTCCATCACGCTGGACATCTCGCTCCATCTTCGAGTCTGCCCGCCCGTTCTGTCATCGCGCACGATGCTCAGTGGGGGGGGGGGGGGGTACTGACCGCCTGCCTCTCTCAATCTCACGTCCTACTTCAATCCTCGCCCCCCAGCGCAGGGTCCATGCCGCATTTCTCTCCGTCATAATTCAGCACCCCCCCAGCCCCCCCCCCCAACTTACAACGCTTTTGTCAACACACTGCTACATGAAAGCCCCCCCCTCCCTCCCGCCCCCACGGCGGCCTATCGGTCATTTTGGAGGTCGTTTGACCATACTTCACCAAGCTGACCTCAGCGCAGGTGGACGAAGAGGTGGGTTAAGATATCACTCGCCTGCTGATGTTAGCCGTGGCCGGCAAGCGAACTCAGGTCGCCGGGGTTCAATGTACCATGAGCGCCGTATAATACATTTACTTGTAATGCTCTTATAACTGCTTATGTTTTGTCCCCTTAAATGTGTTTCGTATGCGTTACTTATTTATGCATTCATACGTTTTAGTCGCGTAAATTATTTTCTAATGCGCTTATGTTTGTAATGTATTATATTTTAATGGGCATGCCGTTTTAGTATGCATTATATATTAAATGTCATCAATTATTGATTGGCCACATGCTCTGCTGTGCCCTCACTCATTTGCGCATTTTATCCGAGCGCGGTCGTAACATGTGCGGCTATCAGTTGAGATCCATCCATCGTGAAATCCACACGAGCATTCATTCATTCATATATCTACCAGGGCATCCATCCCGTCGATGCATATATTCTGTTTCACAATCATCAATCACACACCATACGCGTCTGTTGCAATGTTCATCAATCCATCCTTACGCCAGCGCACACATTCATCCATTGGCGTTTGGTGCCCTCGTCCATCAATTACAGAAGGATATATCAATCCATCCATCCACACGCAAACACGCATGCCCACACATTCATCTATAAAATAGCAAACGTAATATTATTTACATACCTGGGTAGATCTCACTAACTTCGCTAAACCCACATGTGGAGTTTCTCCGGGTGCTCCTGTTTCCTCCCACATGTAACCAACCATTAATTGGATAAATAACACGTGAATATATACAGAGGACCGCAGAGCTTTGAGTGGCTGCTTCTGTCTTCCCGCTCCGCTGTGGTTCCTACCCCTGGCGCCTGGAAGTCGCCGTCTCTCTCTCTCGCTCGCTGAGAGCGACGAGCGACTACCGTGCGGTGGAGGTGCGTTACAAGTTGACACTATCCTTACTATTACTTCGGCTTTGTTTCAGCAGGCTCGGTGTAGGTATGCAAAGTATGTGGGTATTAGTGTCGATGAGTGCGTGGGTATCAGGGCAGGTATGTGCTGTGAGATGCTTTTGTTTCCCAAAAGACCCTGAGAGCTATGCCGGTGGGAGTTTCGGGCTCCTGGCAGGTTTACCCGTGCCGGATTTGTTTCGGGAGATAGGCCAGACGAGAGCCAGCACACTGGCCCCTCCAGGCTGGGGATTGGGCGTGGCGCTAACAACGCCAGCCCGTAAAAAAAAAAAACTCAATGTGACAGAAACTACAACTCAACTATGTGACGTGTGTGTGGGTATCAGACTAGGTGTGTGAGTGTGTGAATATTGGTGTAGATTTAACACGTAGGCTTTCGCGACCAATATCATACATAATACATGCTCTTTTGGGGGGTTAAATACTCCCAAATACAACTGTCAGCAGTGGCAGAACACGCGTGCCAACAAGGACACTCAATTGATTTTGATAATGTTGAAGTTCTGTGCAAAACTAGTCACTACTGGCCAAGACGAATTAGATAATCTACAGAAAATTAGAGAAATACAAATAATTGTAACCGTTCGGATAGCTACAGGCTTACTACTGCTTGGAAACTAATAATCAATAATACATAGTTTAAATGCATGTATATACAGGTCACCATACTCCAATAGGGATTACCGTTGTTACGGCTATTTTAGTACACACAATCGAGAGGAAGTGGACTCCCATAATATGCATGCATAATGTACGTTGATTACCGTATAAATATGCAATCATTAATCAATACGTCAACGCCTCTATGTAAGGAACGAAACAGGTGGACTTCTCCACAAATCTGGCTGTCGCCTGATGAAGCTAGTTGTAATTACTGGCGAAACGTCGTACTCAGATTGTAAATGTTGTGTCTTGGCTCTCCAACACACCGGGTGTGCTGTACTCGTGACGAATTGGCCACGTTCTGTTTACGTGGCTGTGTCGGGTGGTGGCGGGTTTAACGACATATTTTATATATTTACGCGATCTAAAACCCCCAAAAACAAACTGTGTGATGATTGGTGTAGACGTATGTGTACATTAAAGTGGGTGTGCGTGAGTACCAGTGTAGTAGGGGCGTGCGTGCACGTGCGCGAGTGGGTCGGCTGTGGTGGCGGTCGCTGAGCACGAGGCTGATTTCGCACTTTTCTAACCGGCGCTGGAAGGAAAAAAAATGTTTAACCTTGCACTCTCGTCCGATGCGGCTGATGCACTCATCATATCCCCCCAGCCGCCCACCAGGCCCCCACCTGAGTGTCATGACCCTGATCAGGAATCTGACTCGCTTCACGACACACGTGCCGCTCATGTAACGCCGCTTAGCAATGCTGCCGAGGCCCGCGTTCACTGAACGCGCACGCTGGGGGTTACCAACCCCCCTCCCGCCGTTGTCCCAGAGCTCCTCACGCAATTTGGGGGGTGGGGGGGGATTTTCGAACCGCGTTCGTCAAAAAAAAATACGATTTTTTTTGTCGTTTTGTTTTTTTGCCGATCGGTAAAAAGCAAAAGTCCGTTCTGTGTTTGTAGACTTCAGTTTGATCGTCCACTTCGGCTTAGTTCGGGGCCATTATAAAATCGAGGTCCCATCCACCTGTGGCACTCCCCACCATGCGCTGCTAGTGGAGAAGACCACTAGATTGAAAATTATTTTTTTTTGAACTAAATTTTTGCGTTTAGTTTGCTGTCCTTCCTTGAGTGGGTATCATAGTGGACGTGTAGAATCACACGGAAGTGTATACAATTGTGTATAGGGCCCTCGGGTTTGTTCGTATCTCTGAAAGTTCGTAATTCCAATATTCGTAAGTAGAGGAGTCCATGTACACCTGAGTCCAGTTCATCACCAAATGCACCGTGCTATGGAACGACGCTGCTTGATAGTCAAAACTGGTTTTTGGGTTAGAT